TGATCAAAGTGCATTAATGCTGATATGTGGTCATGCATTTCATAAAAATTGCTATGAAATGAAAAATAATCAATGTACCTATTGCTTGGAATTTTATAAAGCGGGTATAATTTCCAACGTATCTTCTTATATAAAAAGACTAGAAAAAGAAAGTTTGACTGATTCGTTGGATGATGATGATGAATTCGAAGAGCCTGATGTAACAGGAGACGAGGAGGTAGAGGAAAATATAACTGAAGAACAAAAAATAGTTTTAGACTTTAAAAACGCTTTTGATTTAATTAAAAATTGGTAAAATAAAATTTTAATTTGAATAAAATGTTTACATACACGTAGTGTTTATTTCAAACTTTAGTTCTCATCTAACTTTTGATCTAGACATGATCTTTTGATCTTATTTAATCTACTAGTAAAGGCAAACATAAAAAACGTTTCTGCGCAAAAAAATTAATATGTACCTTAATAATATTTTTTTTGTATACATATACGCCTTTTTTCTATTTTAAAACAATTGAAATCACATGTTTCACAACATAAAAAAGATCAACAATCGATTTTGTCACAAAGTGATAAAACGAGTGTCCATTATGCTCTTGAATTTGGGGTTGACCTTCTGGTATTCCATTGTATGCAAAGTCTTCTGCCATTGCATTGAAGTTCTCAATCCATAATTGATGTATATCTGTAACATCTCCAAAGACCAATAGTGTTGCGAAGAGATCACGTAGCTGACTTGGCATTTGAAATATTCTAGCTTCAGCCATGCATTGTTGGTGTTCATTATCATTTTCTAAGAAACCTCTGCACTGAGCATTCTCCTTGAAAGTAGCACACAGAGTATCATCTACTGTTTTGAGTTCCTCAAAGCTTCTGGCACCTGTTACTTTTGTTAACAGTAAACGAAGATAGTATCATTCACCTTCACATGGATGTACCATGTACATTCTCCCAATGCAACCTCCACGTTGACGTTTCTTCCATGTCTTGTTTGTTTTATTCCATGTGTAATGTGGAAAATTGGTATAGAGCAGGTTTCTTGCATCAGGATCTTGATCATTCATCTTAAAGTACTCAGTAAGTGATGTTCTTTGGTTCTGGTCAGCTGTGACTACATCTATCAGATTGTCACTTTCATTGAATATGACCCTTTGTTGGTTGGGAAGGTGTATTTGTAATCGTATGACAGCAGGATTTATTCCACTCACGTTAAATCCTAGGATTCTCCAGATTGCTTCTGGGGCTGATACCCAACAGGCTTCAATGAAATTATGAATCTCATCAATCACAATTGGCTTAGCTTCTGTTTCATGATCCTGATGTTCTCCAGTAATTTCAATTGTTGCTTTGTCATGGCCCTTATAGACATACTTGAATAAATATTTGATTGCTTTGATACTGGCACAAATCTCCACATTGATGTGGCAATTGTATTTTGCACAGAGGAATTTGTTGTATGGGACAATCCATTGATTATCCAGCAGGACTGTTCGATTTCCCATCTTTACTTCAATGTAGCAATTATCTTGTCAGCAATGATATACAGGATAAAAGTCTTCTCCTTGGAGAGTTTCATTCTGGAATTGTCTTGGGTATCCCTTGGTGCATTTTTTGTGCCCTGTACCATCATCAATCATGCAGGGTGCATTGGGATTGATACTTCCACATGGTCTATGGAACACATTGGCAATAACTGTGGCATTTGCTCTGGGGTTGGTTACTGGGTCAGGTATCTCAGCACAGACAATATCATCATAATCATCAGGAGTTTGTGGTTTATCCTCCGGATGAAGTATAATCAAAATGTGTGCATGTGGAAGACCTTGTTTCTGGAATTCAATGACATGTGTGTGTGCAACAACATGTCCAAGGACTCTGCGCTCAAAAACATCCTTCTTTAATTCTTGAAGCTTCTCATGAAAGATACGTACTATTGATTATAGATTGAAATTAATGTGATGAGTTGGTTGTATTAGTAACAGATAGACTTATCTAAATATATATATAAAATAATTTAATAATTACCTGTGATATCTGGTTGGTCTTGAGCCATTTGTCCAGGGAGTAACAGAGCTTGAATTTCAGGCCAATTTGGATTACATGACATGGTTATGAATAAATCAGGTTTGCCAATGTGTAGCAAGGCCATTGCATCTTGGTATCGTTGTATCATGTCTCGAGGGCTCCCAATAAATGTAGCAGGAAGTACTATTCTGCGACCTACATGTTCTGGAATATTGTCACCATGTAAAATTGCATCCTGAAGACCTTGATACAACTCACTCCTAATTTTGTCTTGATTATATCAATGGAAATTTAGACAATCTGATTCAATTTTAACATACATATCAACTATATATTGATGAAAGAGTCATCCTGCTCGTAAAAGTAGATTGATAGAATGGGGTCGAATTTGAAGCTGATATGAATAATATCCCATTGGACTCACAAATTTTCTATGTTTTGTTTTATTATCATTATTACCTTCATCATTAGGATCTTTGATTGTCTCAAAACGAATATTTTTGTATGGAATCTGGCGAGGAGCCCATCCTTGTTCACCATGAGGAAACAAAAGTGGATAAGCTAAAGGGTCATAACATCCAGTGAATTCAGAGATACGGATTAACTGATGTGTTTGTGTACGCAATACAATATCTCGTTTTTGAATTGCATCAGAAGGTACATCATCATCAATCCAAATTGCTGCTACTTGAGAAGCTGTTGGAGCATTATGAGTCCTTTGGTCAAGTCCAGGAATATTAGCATGAATAACCATGGATAGGTTTTTAATATTCTCTGTAGGTAGGTCAGAAATGTGTCAAAAATTGATGACATAGGGGTTCACCTCATCAAGCACAACCTTCAAACTTTGTATAATAGTGGGATCAAGGCCAGAATCAGAAAGGGTGTTTATTCGATGATACAATTTGTTTTCAGTATCCCAGACATACATCTGTAGGTAGTGAGGTTCAGATCCAGGTTCTGGCAGTAATGAGCCAATTTGATGGTAAATTGAACCTTGGATGCGAAAGGTATAAACACCAGCAGTTGCATTTGCAAGCTCATTATCTAACTTGACACCAACAGATGTGAAAGTAAATGCTGAATTATATAGACGAATTTTATCATGGAAGTGCTTGGCAATATCATCTTGACTTGAAAAAAGAGATTGCAAAACCAAAGGGACATTGGGTTCTGCTAATAGCACTTTCCCATTAGAGCAGCACATTCCTGGACTTTCTGCTGGAAGCTTGAATGCATTACAGTAATTACATGTAGCCATGTTTGCAACATTGATCTGGTGCATATCTGAATAACTGCTTGTATTTGCACTTTCAGAGAAGTTATGGGCAATATTGTGTATTTGGGGATTATTAGCACGATATTGACAATGAGCATCAGCATTTCGTTGGAGCCGTTGTTGATGTTGTTCAACAGTTTCCATGGCTCTGTGTCTGTGTTGTCGAGCAGTATTGGCTTCTCTTTGTTCTTCAGTGTTGTGTTTTGTATGTTGCATGATATAAATATATATAATAATGTGTACAGTAAAAAAAAAATGATAAAAAACTTTTTGTAGATTTTTATTGTTGGATTATACATGTATATATATATATCTATAAACAATCCAAGAAAAAATAATATTATTCAGTTTTAATTCTGTTAATAATACACCAAAAATAGTAAGAGACTTATATCTGGTAACAAAACACCAAATTGTAAAAGTGGAAATAATCATGGAAACAAAAAATAGCCCTTTGCATGTGCAAATTCTGTGTCCAACATAAAACTTTGGTTTGTTGTTTTTTTTTTGTTCTAAATATGCTTAAAAGAGCATGGTGGACATTCAATTTGTGTTACAAAGTAACATGCGCGCATTTCCAAATAAGTACATCAATTTATTTGTTTATTGTGATACAGAAATTGAAAGTTTTATTGGTTGATCAAATAATAAAATAATAATATAAATAAATAGTAATAGTGAAATTAATTTTCAGAAGTATCCATTAAAGGTTCTGGAACAGGTTCTAATTTATTTTTTAAAAAATTATCATTAGAAAACTATAAAATAATAAAAAATTTTTATTATAAATTTTATTTACCTTGTTGTAATTTAATTAAAGCAGCTCTAATATTTATATTGAGATTGTTTGATGGTAAGTTAGAATTGAATTCATCAAAATTATCATCATCATCATCATCATTTGGTGATGATAAATCTAATTCATCAGGATTTTCTAATTCAATTTGATCAGTTTTTGTAACTTGACTTTCCAATCTATCATTGTAAGAGGATGATAATACATTAATTCCATCTACAAGATAATCTAAACAATAATGACATTTAAAACTCATCTTTTGAAAACACTCATTATGATATCCGTGACCACATATTAGAACTTTTCCATAAAGTTGTAATTGATCAATTTCTATATTAATATCACAATCTTTTGCATCACAAAATATGTTGAAGTTTGGAGGACTTTTTGTGTGATATCCTGTAGGTAAAGTCCCTATTTTCATAATTTCATTTAATACAAAAAACTTATGACCAGTTGATTTAATTGGTCTTGTTATAGATTGTGGTGCATGCTGTGGAGATGTTGAATTAGACCAAATGTTTTGAAAAAATTCAATAAGGAAAAGAGCTGTCTGTTTTACCATAATATCAATATTTTTTTTAGTATATGGATATTTCTTAGTATTAACAAAAGGTTTCATAAAATCATTATTATGTCTTTGATTATCAATAGATATTGCATCACGCCTCAATCCTTCTGGGTTATAATTTTTACCCACAGTATGTCGACAAATTAGGCTATGAAAATTTTCTACAAAATATTCATTAATTCTTGTAAATTTTCAGATAAAATATTGTACATAGGATGTTCAATGCTTTGCCAATAAAGAACATCAGAGATAAAAGCTATCATTATCTTATCATAATTTTTTCTTCCAAATCGTTTCATAATAGTCCAAAGTCAAAAGATTGTTTCCAAATATTCTTCAAAATGACCTTCACAAAATAAAATTGCATAAATATCCAATGTTGCTGGTACAATATTATCTAATAAATCTAAAAATGTGTGATATTCAAGATTTTTTTGGATGCCAAATTTATTAATAACTGTATCTCTAATAATCATCCATCCTGAACGTGAGATATACAATAAATAATTTACCATCCATGGAGGAGGTGTAAGTGATAAATTTTTTGTTTTCTTAAATATTTTCTTATATAATAAATTGAAAAATGGGTGATATAATTTTATTGTTGATTCTCTAGTATTTAATGATACATGTAAAGGTCCTAAAAAAGGTACTAGATGAAGTATTTGATTAGGGATATCTATATCATCACCATATAATCTTTTTAAAGTAATAGCTTTACGAACATAATATTGACCAGGAAAATCAGCTGGAACTGGAATGGCATACTTATTTAAATATTCTTGAAGTTCAGATAATTCAACAAATGGTGTTATAGCTTGAAGATAATCAGGTAAAGATTTCAAATCTTGGGAAACAAAATCAACAAGTTTTACAGTATCCATTTTCCTATTTTCATGTAGATTATTTTGTAAATCAATGTCATAAGTATGTATCATAAGTGAATTGATAAGTTCACTTTCAGGGAGCTTTGAACTATCTGGTATACAAAACCATTTAGAACTTTGTTCCGTATAACTAATCCCAAAACGTAAGATATAATCATATTTTAAAGCCCAGCTAAGTAATTCAGCATCCACATTATTAGGATTATGTATTGTATGAATATCATCATCGAAAGATGAAGATAAATAAGGTATTGGAGAAAGTCTTGGTGTATGAATCATAGTTGTAGCCATATGTGCAACATCAGATAAGGATGTAGTATTGGGTAATCTTTTTTGATGTATGTCGTGGTAATCATCAACCAAATATATAATAAGTGAATCAATCTTATAATTTAATAGTGCATATAAAAAAGAGATTAAATTAATAATATTGTATAAAATAATATAATAAAATTATTAATAATAATAGTACATACATTTTGTTTAAGATATTCAATTAATCTCATTTGATGAGACTCTAAATTTTTTGTTTTTTCCCTAATTGCTGTTTTATAAGTAGAAGTAATTCCTATGTTTGCCAAAGTATCTAATCCAGATGATGATGTTCCTGTATTAACCATATGTGAAGCAATTTTATTCTTTACCAAACTAAATTGTTTATTTCTTAAACCTGCTAGTTGATAACATAACATCATTATTTTTAATCTTAAACTTTTAATTGTATTGGATTTTTTTTTGCTGGATCCATACTTTTGAATAACATATTGAAAAAACCATCAAGGTTTGGATCTTTTTCTTTAAGCATTTCTTCAAATAAATCAGGATCATTTATTGGCATTTTTTTCTCTTTGTGTTGATGATTATAAAGAACTGTAGTAAGTCTTTTAATTTGAGAATTAAAATATTTAGAAAATTCAACAATATCTATGAATAAAAATAAAAATAATTAATAATTAATCTCAAAAATTGCAATTCTAAATATCTTTAACCATCATTAATGATATGATATAAATTAACTTATTTTATAAATTATAAATCCAAAAGAATTATAAAAAAAAAAAATACCAATTAAATTGTTTGTATCAACAGGCCTTGTTATATTCTCCAATTCAGCTGATAATATTGTTATATGTTGTTGGAGTTCTTTAACATGTGCTTCTAATTCTACTAATTTTGAAGATGAAGAACTTTGTACATTTGTTTTAAATAAATTATCATCATTAGATTTTTTATTAGGTTTAATATGAGAATCATAATTGATACATCTATTATAACATATATTACAAATTAAATCATCAACACTTAAATTATTATATCCCCCAGCTTCTGCTTTATTTTTACTTGATTCTGTAATTTTTCTATACTTTGAGTTTACTCTAATTTCATTGCAAACTACACATCTGCTGTGTAATACCATATTGGAAATGTTGGTACTAAGTAAAGTATGTCAAAATTGCGGATGCCGATGGATGCAGCTGGAATTAAATTTAAAAAACGTTAAAGAATATCTCTGTAAAGTTACAGACATGTCACGCGTCAACGTATACCCATTTTAATTGAGCACACTGTTTTTTTACTTTAAAAATTACGTTACACGGCATAAAAAATTGGTGCAACATTCGAATGTCCACCATGCTAATTTTAATAACAGGATTCTTGATGAGTGACAGGTTGATAACTCAAGCATTTCATCAGTATATTTAACCATTATGAAAAAAGTTATTTTTATGGTAATTTTATGATTATAATTTGAAGATTATTTTTTGATAGACTTGTAAAGCAGTTAAAAATAAATGTAATACATAAATTTTGGAGGTTATATGACCATTTAATAAAGCCTTTGCCAAGTTTTCTTCATAAAAAAGCATTATTTATTAATTTTTTTTTTTATTTTTTTTTCAAATAAAAGATCTGCACACAATTAGCCAATATTTTTGTTTTGTTTTTTTTTCTAAAGATTTCTAGATTGTCTGTCCTTACAGCATTTGGAAATTCCATATTTGGTAATAATCCTGACTGTTATATATATAATGTGTATTACATTTGACTAACCAATAAAAATTGTCATAAATCACATGATATGTTTGTACAATGTACTAAAAATTTTTTAGCTTGTATGTACGTACTTGTATGATACGTGTACATGTATGAGTAGCATGGTGGACATTCAAATATCACGTAAAATGTTACACGGATTATTTATATTGTTTAAAATAATCAACCAGTCCCATCAATTAAAGTGGGTACAAGTGTACTAATTAACGACCATTCAAAATTCAATATATTATTCTCCTAGTTGTTTTATACGAACTGTCAAAAGATCACAGAGAAGATCACACTTTTCAAAATTGCAATCTATTAAATGCCACCTAAAAATCAATTCTGCAATTACTGT